GTAGGATGATAGGTGACATTACACTTCTTTTTTTATTCGTACGTTTCCTATAACAGCCGTAGGCTACTGCAGGGTGCAGGGTAACAATATTTTTATTTATTTTCGAGGATTCGTATTTTAGTTTGTTTTATTTAAATTTTACGAAGATTCGTTTTTATTTTTGTTTTGTATAAATTTTACCACGATACGTATTTTATTTTTACAGCGGTATATATAATTTATTTTTACAATTATTTATAAGAGGGTGGTATGTAGTTAATGGTCCATAGAATAACGGTATATACTTGTTTTAATGAAATATTAAATAATAAAAAAGTTTTAAATTAGATTTTTTTTTGTTTTCTGGGTAGTAATTTCACTTTTTTTTTAAACACTTCGTGACTCTTAAATGTTTGCATTTTTAGTTTTTATATTCTTTCTGAATCCTCTGGTATTCACTTTCAGCACTTTAATTTAAATTCGTAAGTTTATAATCGTGATAAACTTTATTTCATTCTACAATAATTTATCCCTAATTTCTTTTTGTTTATCCATTTTCTTCCTTTCTTATGTGCCGCCGCTGTTTATTTTAACCTGCTTGATATCTTATCGACGTTGTTCTGATAGCTCTACGTTCCCCGGGTCGACCTCTCGGAGGTCACAAATCTTTTTATACAGTGTGTCTCTAAATTAATAGGTCGCTTAATATATGAGATAAAAGGTTGGTTAAATGGGGAACGTTTTAGAGAATTTGTTGCTGATCTCGGATCCGGTTACAAAATTATGAAAAGTATTATAGTTTTTGAATTATTTCAAAATACTAAGTTTCCGAATTTTTAAGAAATACTCTTAAATTAATTTAAAAGAACTAATAATTTCCTCGATTTAGTAACACCGCATCCATCTAAAATAGCATGTGGTACACGACATTTATTAGTTCTCTACGGCAAATAATAATAGTCGTCCTTGCCCCGGACAAGCTCAGTCAGCTTCACTCGTAAGGGGGTGAATTATAGGGAGAGTATTATTATTATTATTATTATACTCTTCACACAGTAGTTTGTGAAGAGTATCTTCTCAATAGAACTCACATAGTCAAAGTAAAACGTCATTATTCTGAAGTTTCCCAAGGTTCCTATCTGGGACACCTTGTTTTTAATTTATTTGTCAACGATGTTTTTGGCACAGTAATTTCTTACTTTTTGCAGATTACCTTAAACTTTTCCAAATGTTTAACAACTTTGTAATGCTATTGATTTACAGTCTGATATTAATCATTATTTATCCGATTGGTGCAAATACAACGGCATGGAGGCGTGTTAATCTACATCAAAAATGAACTTAAGGTAAAGCTACTGCCAATAAATAACTTATCAGTTGACTCTCACTGCGAGTTTACAGGAATCAAAATTTTAAATTTAAATGTTACTATTATATGTATGTATAGATGCCCTTCAGGTAATGTAAATCTGTTTTTTGAAATTTTAAGTTCTTAAACATGTGTATTGTCAAAAAAATGTTTTTATCTTAGGTGACTTCAATATTGATATTTTAGTTGATAGTAACTTAAAAAATGATTTCATTAACTTACTGAGATCTTATAATTTTAACTATTTAGTGTCGGAACCTACCAGAATTACAAAAAAATCAAAATCTTGTTTAGATAATTGTTTAGCAAACATCCCTCCAGCGGATTGTAAAATAGATGTTGAAGATTTTTACCTTTCAGATCATAAATGTATCATAAAAACGATTAACTTACCTCAAAATCATTGCTTAGATAATCAGACCAGCATCATAAAATTCAGACCACTAAACGAAACAAGAATAATCGACTGCATTGATTACTTAAAAAACCATGACTGGACTTTACTTAAAGATTCAGATAGTGTAGATAATATGTGCCATATATTTCTAGAAACATTCCGACATGCCGTTGAAGAATATTTACCAATAAAAACCAAAAACGTTCATACACGAAATAAAAATAAAAAATGGTATAATTATGAACTAAAACTTATCAGACAACAGCTAAACGATTTGCACCAACTAACAAAAGTTATAAAAGATGATAATTTAGAATTAGAAATTAAAAATCTAAAACTTACATATAAAAATAAAATTCGGGAACAAAAACAAAACTATTTCACAAATAAAATTAATTCATCCAAGAATAGGTCCAGAAGTATATGGCAACTCATAAAACCAAATAAAAAAGATAAAAAAAAATCAAATAACACTAAACTTAACCCTAGTGATCTTAATAATTTTTACCTCAATGTCTCGAATAATATCACAAATTTGTTACAGGCACCTATCTCAAATAGGGAGCCCTTAGACTCACTGAAAAAGCATGTTTGGAATAACAATATTCTTTTTCTATATCCGGTAAATAGGGAGGAATTAAAAGATATTGTTAATGAATTATTCAATAGCACAACATTGGATGTGTTTGGTATTAGCAATAAAATTCTTAAATTATTAGCAGACGGTATATATGATCCACTCATCGTGAGTATAAATAAATGTTTTACTGACGGCACATTTCCTCAGGATTTAAAGACTCCTATATAAAAAAAAGGAAATGAAAACCTTCCAGAAAACTACAGGCCTATATCAATAGTACCTATACTATCAAAGCCTATTGAAAAAGCTTTTAACAATAGACTTTTTGCATACCTTAACAAATTTAATCTTCTGAGTGACCAACAATTTGGTTTTAAAAAGAAGTCCTCAACAATAAATGCTATCACAAAGCTGGTGACTGATATTGTCAGTGCTTTTGAGGATACACAGATGCTTTCAGCAAGTTTCTGTGACCTCTCAAAGGCATTTGATTGTGTTAGCCACAGCAAACTATTGGATAAACTCCCATACTATGGTATAAGAGGTAAAGGTCTTGATCTCCTAACCCAGTACTTAAAAGACCGTTGTCAATTTGTACAAATTGGAAACAATACTTCAGAAACTCAAAAAGTTCATGCTGGAGTACCCCAAGGCTCAATTCTTGGGCCAACCCTCTTTACGTGAATGACCTACTATCTGAAGCCTACTTTTTCCGTTCAGTATGCAGACGACACTACTTATTATCACTGTAACAAGGACAAAGACGAGCTAGAAACTCTTGATGCTGGAGCTCTTGCCTTGTCTAACTTATGGTTCTCTAGTAATAATCTTTTACTGAATACTGACAAAACAGTCAAAATGTTGTTTACACTTAGAGATATACCTCAGCAAACTAAATCAACAAAATTCTTAGGTTTAACATTAGATAATAAACTTGATTGGAAACAGCATATAGAGAGTCTATCAAAAAAACTATCTAGCACGCTATTTTTAATCAGAAAATTATCATGGTACACTACAAACGAAGTCTGTATTTTTAATATTGATCCAAATTTAAAAATTTTTGTACCAAACTTCTCCTTAGTTTTAAACAACTCTTAAAAATGTCAGTCCTATGTCACGTTTTGGTTCGCACGATAAATCAAAACCAAAACTTGAAATTTTCAGGAAAACCCAGGCTCTATAAGGGAACAAAGCCTATTGATTTTGAAAAAAATCTGATTAAAAATGGGGGATTGAAATTTAAAAAAATTAATCAGAAATCAAAAAGCGAAAAGAGATGTCAACATTAAATTTTTAGTAAATATCAAAATCTAGAAGGAAATGAAGCCTATTAATTCTGAAAAAAAAATCTGATCATGAAAATGGGAAGTTAAGTAGGGTTGAAATATAAGAAAAAGAATCCTAGCTCAAAAACTGAAGTTAAGGGGGTCTGTTAAACTGATGAGTATAATATAGAATACCAAGAATTATATACCTTCATTCTAGTTCTAATTTGTTCTTCAATATTTTATATTTAATTTCAAAAAATATTTGATACATGCTTTATAATTTATAAATCCCATTTTTAGTGCTCCGTGTTCCGTTTAATAGAGGTATAACTACTGAATAAAGAACACTCTTAGTTTAGAGTCATACAAACATTTTAAGAGCAATTAAACTAATTTTCGTCTTTTGGTTCCGATTTTATACCCATTTCAAGGTAACATTTTTTTGCATATCAACCTTTTCGCCGACACAAAAAATGCAATATATATTTGCAATATCATATTGGATTCAGAAAAACGGCGTTTAAGCTATATCCCGAATTTCTTTAAACAACGTAAATATCCGGTCACATGGCTGAAATCCCTACACCGGAAGTAGCAAAGGATTTTTTTATTGTTATATACATCTGGAATTATATAATTCATTGCCTACAAAAAACGAAAAAAAAAATCAATAAACAACTTTACTTTCAATTGCACAGGTCACATGACCGCTATCACCACCGGGACATAGTACATGTTCACCCCCTCCCATATTGCCAATTACAAATAGCAAGCAAAAACACGACGTGCCAATTTTTGCAATCAGATGAGGGATTATTAATAGTACTCTGGGTGCAGATACCTTTACGAAGAAATTCTACTCGTATAATCAAGAATAATATATGATTATGAATTTTTTATATATCTATCCAAAAATAAAGTTAAGCAATTTATCGGCATCATTTAAATATTTCACAATACTTTTTACTGATTAGAAAAGTCAGTTGTTTATATCTTAGAATTTTCTTTAATCTAAGGTTTATGTATTATTCCATTATCAGTTAGATAGTGTCCTTGAACTATTTATAAATTAAGAGATATTGGAGTCATCTTTTGTTTCTAAGATAATTATCTCTAACCCTATATATTTATAAATTTAAAAATGTGTTTTAATAAATAATGCTCATTTGATCAATAACAATATGTTTTCTATATTTAGAAAATTACCAAATTTTAAACCCAAAGTTAAAATAAACAAACAGCTATTAAAAATTATAAAACAAATTTACTTGTCTAATAAAATAATAAAAACAGATTTACTATCCCTAATGAATAATTAATGTTCTATATGTATAGTCTTAATGCATTAAAAAACATATGAATTTAATTTATTTATTTAAAAAAGAATTGTTAACATAAATAGGTAGTAGTTATAAGCTCTAGATACTTTGAGATAACAAAAAAATTACTTGAAAGAATATCGTTTTTTTAAGAGTATTCACCATTTATGGTTCTCCCAATAAGTAATCTCCTAATTTCTGATGTTCCAGCTCCTATTTCATATAATTTAGCATCCTTGAGAAATCTTCCTGTAGGATAATCATTAATATACCCGTTTCCCCCCAAAATCTGTATAGCATCCAAAGCAACTTGAGTAGCTTTTTCGGCACAGTACAATATAACACCAGCACAATCTTTTTTATTAGCTTTTTTATTATCACAAGACCTAGCTACGTTATAAATGTAACTTCTACACGCACTTAAAGTCGTATACATATCGGCTAACTTAGCTTGGATAAGCTGAAAATGTCCTATAGGTTGATTAAATTGTTTCCTAACATGAGCATAAGAAAAAGCTACATCACAACAAGCTTGCATTATACCCACAGGCCCTGCCGCTAGTACAAGCCTTTCAAAATCTAGTCCACTCATTAAAACGTAGACACCCTTATTTTCACTACCGAGTAAATTTTCTTTAGGAACCTTGCAATCTTCAAAAATAAGTTCACCAGTAGGAGAGCCTCGCATTCCTAGTTTATCTAGTTTTGGACCTGTTTTGAACCCAGCAAAATCCCTTTCTATGACGAAAGCTGATATACCATGTTGTGCTCTTTTAGCTGAAGAGTCTGTTTTTGCATAAACTACTAGCACATCTGCATTTGGTCCATTTGTTATCCAACATTTGTTGCCATTTAAAATATAATGGTCGCCGTTCTTCTGGGCTTTTAGTTTCATTGATACTACGTCAGATCCTGATCCAGGTTCTGACATTGCTAGAGCTCCAACGTATTCCCCAGAACATAATTTAGGTAGATACTTTTGTTTTAAATACTCACTGCCATTTCTGTGGATTTGGTTAACACATAGATTAGAATGGGCTCCATAGGATAAAGCTATAGCACCAGAGGCACGGGATAATTCTTCCATAATAATGCAGTGATCCAAATACGATCCCCCGGTACCACCGTATTCAGGGTTAACAGTGATTCCTAACGCTCCTAACTGTCCAAGTTTTTTCCAAAAATTTCTAAAATCATCGAAATTGTTTTTTTTGTCAATTTCGTTGGCCACTGGCGAAAGCTCTTTCTGTGCGAAATTAAAAATACTTTCCCTCAACTGTATTTCTTCATCTTTGAGTCCGAAAATATGTTCATCGATGGGATAATATTGAGATACCTGCCTCACTTGCGTTGGTTTTATTTTAGAAACGGTTCTTAACAATTTTTGGACATTCATGGCCATGTTTAAATGATACTGGCGACACTAGATATTATACAAGTACGAAAACAACGAGATTTGTTTAGAACATTTTAATCACTCACTATTTCATTATATTGCCTTATCTTCTTGATAACTCGCTGAATTCTGTACACACAGCGGATTGGGTTTTAAAAGAAAATTAATTCGAACTTGAACTGTCGAGTAGACCAACATAGCAGTGGCGCACCAATGTGGCGGCAACGCGTTATAAATATTAATTCAATCAACAATAAAAATTATCTACTTGATTGAATTATTAATTTGTATATTTATAAACGATAAATTTCATTGATGCGGTGACGGGTTAAAAGGAATTTTATTTTTAAATCTTCTATGTGACAATATAAATTGGTAATATTCTGCGGCTTTCCTTGTAGGTTCAAATTTAATTCGTTAAGGTGAGATGTCAGGTTTGTTAAAAATTCAAAGTGATAGAAATATTGCATCTACAATTTAAAAATTTATCATTTTACTCAAACCGGTATTAGATGTTCGACCTTATTTTAATATGTAAAATCGATGAAAAAATCACAAATGGTATACATTAATTATTATTTTAATAATTTATAACTTTAATCACACTTCTGTACAATGGAATTGCCATAGGCTATCAATATTTTACAAAATCTAAAATTAGAGAAGTAACCTGTTTTGATTTCTTCTGATCTTTAATTTTAAAAGTGAAATAATAATAGAGATAAGAGATATATCATATATAAGAGATATATTAATAAACATTCTTTTACCAAGAAGTACCGCAGAAATCCGTTAAAACCCTGGATAAATAGTGATGTCGTATCCTTAATTCATCATAAACGGCGACTTTGGAGAAAGTACAATATTTCTAAAAATATACAGGACTTCCGTTCTCACAGAAATTTCTCTAATTTCTTAAAACTAAATATTCGCTCAGCGAGAAGAGACTATGAAGAAAATATTGTAAACTCAGAAAATCACAAAAAATTATACAAATATGTGCGTTCAAATTTATGTTCCAAAGTAAGTGTACCTTTATTGCGTTGCCCAGATGGTACTTTATGTTCTACAGATTTCGATACTGCGGAAATTCTGGCAAACACTTTCACTTCTGTATTTACAAACGAACCTGCCACTACCGCACTACCATATATAATAACCACGAGGATACATAATAGTCTGATTGATGTGCAGTTTAATCCCGAAAAGGTTAGAAATAAATTACTTAAGTTGAAGAACCATTCTTCACCTGGTATTGATGGATTAAGTTCTTTATTTTTAAAAAAGTATGCAAACACACTGTCCGACCCGCTTTCCACAATCATGACAATATCTTTTAAAACATCTACTCTACCCGACTTATGGAAAATTGCGTCAGTCACAGCTATTTTTAAGAAGGGTGACAAAATGGATGCTTCAAATTACAGACCTATAAGCCTTTTGTCTATCCCATCAAAAATCATGGAAAGCATCGTAGTTGATGTCATGACTAACTTTTTCAAAGAGCATAACGTAATACCAAAGGAACAACACGGTTTTGTTAAGGGTAAATCTACCACAACAAATCTTTTATGCTGTATTAACGATTGGTCTCGCTCACTCGAATGCAAACAACCAACTGATGTAATTTATCTCGATTTTGCAAAGGCTTTTGATAGGGTCCCTTTTGTCAGACTGCAGCACAAACTCGAGTCATTTGGTATTCGAGGAAAATTATTGTCATGGATTCACAATTATCTAGGAAATAGGAGCTTCCGAGTCAAAGTTGGTCAGTCCTACTCATCAGATAGATTAGTGACAAGTGGTGTCCCCCCAAGGCTCGATACTGGGTCCGCTTCTTTTTATAACTTATTCGAGTGATCTACCTTACCATATCCAGTCTCAAAGAGCATTTTATGCAGATGACGCAAAATTTTACGGAAACCCCTTAGTAGACTACGATAATATTCAAGCTGACTTAAATTCAATAAGTGATTGGTGCTCGGACTGGCTTCTCCCGTTAAATATAAACAAGTGCGTGGTGTTACATATCGGCAAAAATAATCCACGTCTTGGTTACTCGCTCGGTAGCCATAATTTGGCGCAAGTGTCTTCGTATGTAGATTTAGGAGTTTTAGTGACGTCAGAACTAACATGGTCTGAACACATTCTAAAAACATGTAAACGTGCAAATTCGATGTTATATTTGCTTCAAAAGACTTTTGCAAAGGTATCCTTTCATACATACATCAAATTATTTAAGACTTATGTTCGACCTTTATTAGAATATGCAGGTGTAGTTTGGTGCCCGCTTCTTGTGCGAGACCAGAACCTTTTAGAAAATGTTCAACGCCGGGCTACCAGAATGACCTTTGGAGCAGTGCGACCATCATATGCAGAAAGACTACAATTGTCAAACTTGTCAACTTTTGCGAATCGTCGACTACGAGGGGACTTAATTCTTACTTTTAGAATACTTAAATATAATTACGGAAATCTTAATGACATTTTTTTGTTAAATACTGACTCTCGTCTACGTGGTCATGAACTAAAATTAAAAAAGGAAAACCTAAAAACGAAGCACAGACAATCATTCCTTTCCAACCGGGTATTTAATGTATGGAACGACCTCAGCGACGAAGTTGTTGGTGCCATAACAGTTAACGTCTTTAAAAATAAGTTAGACGCGTGTTTGTTTAATTAACATTTTTATTCAATTTTTAGTGTTATTTTTGTTTCAGTGTGTTTACTTTGTTAGAATTTTTCTATTTTGTTTTTAGACTATCATAGGACTTGTGTCCTCAGCCTTTATCAATGTATAATAATAAATAATAATAATAATCATTTATAATTCTTTATTAAATATATTAGAAAAGCTATTTATTTATTTAAAAGTAATTTAAGTTTAAACAGTGATTAAAGCAAAAAACTTGTTTTTGTTTTGCCAACCGTGTTGTCTATTTAATTTTGTTAAATCTGTTTAAATTTTATTCATTCTGTAATATTAAATGAAACATTTTAGTATAACCAACCCAATAATTATACAGATATCGGCCGAATTGACAACAAACCTGTTAACCATTATCAATCAATTTCATTCCAGTGCAATCCCATCAATATTTTATTCAAAACGCAGCACATAAATAATTACTTATTTCCTATAAAATATGTATGTTTGAATTAATAATAATTCATGCTACGCCGCCACTCCTTTAATCGTTTTAAAGTAATTTAAGGCTTTTTTATCCGTTTTTGATATACATAACATTTATTTTAAGCATGAGTAGCGAGCTCGATATTAAATTGCTAATTTTGTTAAAGTTAAGATATGAGCATAATTAAAAGGCGTTGGAAAATTATCTTTGATATAAAAGGAACAAAATGAATACATGAATAACTTAGTTTTGTTGATTTAGGTTTTAATTTTTATTTATTATCACATTCTCCAAAAAAATATACATACATTACAGACATTGAACTGTATTCTTCTGCAAGAAAAGCTATACAAACTGACACACTAGATGAAAGGTAGAGGAAATTGTTCTTAAACTGTAGTAAATGTAAAATATTACTCACACACATCTAGAATAAAAAAAGTTAATAAAATAAAAAAGAACAAAATTATTCATTGACAATAAAAGATCTAAGTTTTACAATATTCCAAATGGGTGCAGAAATTAATTTTGTCTTTTTTATTGTTAGATTTCTTAACACATTTAGAAAGGTTTCAAAATTATCAAAACGTCTATGTTTTGGTCTCATACTTGTGTTACAGATAGTACATATCTCACAAGTAGTGATGCCGCGAGACGAGAGATTCTCGTCTCGACGAAACGAGAGAGTTAGTTTCGAGACGAGAGACTTCTCGTTTCTATCGAACTCTCTCGAGCTCCCTCGTACAAATAACTTTTTGCTTATTTGAAATTTTCAATTGCCTATCGTATTCTCTATATATTAAATGGTAACAAATAATACGTGTTTAATTGGGATTTTATAAATAGTAATTTATAAGAAAAATTATTTTCCATGTCATTTATTTAAAATTAATTAAACGAGAGCTGCAAGAAGTTTTTGTTGACTCAAAATTTAAATTTCAAACGAAAAAGGTTATATTCGTCGTCACTGCTTAGTTCAAACTGATTACTGGAAAACATATTTAAAATAGTTCTTGGTATAATTTTCATAAATAACTTTACTTTAAATATTATAGTCGATAAAACTGCAGTTAAAAAGTTTTTTAACATAATAAACACTAGTAGGTATTAGTTTCTACATTTATTAATAATGTGACGAAAGTCTAATTTATTTAAAGTTTGTTTATTTAAAAACACACTATTTACAATTTATTTCAGACGTACCTACTATTTAATTTATATAATATTTGAACACTAACTAACAATTCTAATTTATTTCTTACACTTTTACTTTTCAATACAACGTTCTATATTAAACTAAACTCGGCGCTGATACGTCCTCTATTTATATTAGTCTAACTCCGCTACTGGAAAATGCTAGAGACTTCGCGAAGATGACTAAACGGTAGTCCCCGCCATTCCAGATGTTTCGAGTGAATCAGCGGCAGATATTCGAGAGCGGTCCGGCTGTTTCCACACGTCAGCGTTGCTTCGGTCACGAGTTGATTGCGTGCGTATACAGGGTCGGATCGTATTAGGAATATCATGACAATAAACATAGAAAAAATAAAATACTTTAGATTTATTAATTTTTAAATATAAATCTGTAATGTAAATTAAAAAACAGATTTGGAGAGTAAATTTAACTTCTGTTAGCCCCATGAGAAATTTTATAGGTAACTATATAAATAGCATTTTATTGATTGAATCGCTTTCTTACCTGGTCAATAATATGGATAAAGTTTGCTATTTGAAAATATATTCTAAACATTTTTAAAATTTAAAAATGAACATTTATACAACAATTTATCAAATTAAATTCTGTTTTTCTGAAGTTACTTTTGGAGATAAGTTGGAAAGCAGTTTTTTTTTCTTCTAAAAAGTAAAACAGATGAACGTATTATATATTTTTGAAAACATGCTTCAAAATAAGTTTTTAGTTGACGCCTAATTTGGGTCATTGAGTAAAATCACTGTGACAGACGGACAGACAGAGAGACACCAAGGTCATTCCATAATTGTTTCTTATTGCCAATTTGGGTACTAATGAGACAAATAACCTAAAACATTCTTTGTTGTTGTATTCAAAATTCTTACAGTTTTTTCTTGTTTTATCCTAAGTTTATCATTTCCAAATTTAAATTTGATTTATGGTTTAATCGCGAGAGAAACGAGATGAGAGAACAGTTTTCTCTCGCCCTACTACTACTCAGAAGGGCCAATAACATACGACGTCCAATTAATATTAAATTTAAGTACAAATTTATTGTACATCCTTACTTGAGTAATAGTGCAAATGATCTGTATGGGCATTTTTAAATGTAAATATGGTTTAGGATCTGTAGAAGTTCCAAAAACGTTAACATCTGATTCAAAAAGGTTCTGATAAATTCGGTCTAATATCGTTTTTTGTTTGAATTAATTTGGTTTAAATCATTGCACAAATCAGTAGAATTTGAAACTGTAAAAAATCTTTTAAACTGAGTAGTCCTATTAAATTTTGCATCACAACTGTCAAGTAAGCGTAATCGTTTCTTTAAATAAAATTTCGGAAACCTGTTTCGTCCATAGCTAGAATTTTGCAAAACTAATTTAACGCCATTTTCAATTCAAGCAACGAATCTTCAATTTGATATCTAACTAGTATGTTAGATTTTATTGTTTATTAAGTCAAATAAATATTTAGTTACCAAGTGATTTAGCAATATTGAACTTTGGTATGGAAAAAATATCAGATTTAGCACACTTACAATCCTTTGGAAGTATAGCATATAGACAAACCCCAAAACAGTTGTGCAAGAAATTGGATACAAAGTCTGAGAGATGCATTATGATAGGGTATGCCCAAAACGGATATTGAATATGGAGTCCTAAACTTCAGAAAATCATTTAGAGTTAGAGATATCGTCTTTGATTAAGAAATAGCGATATTACATGTAAGAATGATTAAATAAATAGAGCAACTGACCTTGAATCGGAAACTCGAAATAATAAAAATGAAAATAATCTTGAACAAAATGAAGAAAATGAAATTAAAGCGAAAGAAAAGAGCAAGAGACATAGAACAGTTCCAAAATGGTTTGAAGATTACGATATGAGCTATTTAGCTTTTAATACGTTAGGTTTTGTTTTATTTATTTATTTATTTATTTATTACAATGCTCTACAGGCAATCCCAGTTACAGAGCAGGAATAAAAGAACACATACATTATATAGACTAAGTGGTACAAAATATACAAAAATTTGTAAACAGCTAGTAGGTAAAATCCAATACAATTTTTTTTTTTTTAAGTTAGGAAATTACATTTTATTTCCCAAAGTTTGCATGAGAAGATGTCAATGTCACTACTCACAACGCGGCTAATAGTATGAAATGGAGAATTTTTCAGAACATTTGTGCGAGGTACAGATATGTGAAATATGTTAGAATTTCTAGAGGATGCTCTCGGAATGCAGATATCAATTTTTCTCAACAGTTCAGGAGAATCAATTAAACCGTTAACAATTTTGAAACAACACATAACAATGGTATTCACGTTTTTTTATGAGGCTTAAAAAGTGATATCTTTGAAGAAGATTTTGGTGTGGTATTCCGATTGACGGATAAACACCGTCCTCCTTTAAACACCGTCCTCCTTTAAACACAGTAATTTTAGAAACCGCCTTTGAACTGCTTCAATTCGATCCGTGTGAAGTTGGTAAAATGGACTCCAGACGACAGACGCATACTCAAGCTTTGATCTTATAAGAGAGTAATATAACGTTTTTAATGTGGCTACATCTTTGAAATCCCTGGTACAGCGAGTTATAAAACCATACATACCATACGATGTTTCAATCATTTTATCTATGTGACATATAAAGGTCAATCCGGGATCAAAAATTACCCCAATTACTGTAAAAATATCTGGTCGCTGAAGTGAGACATTATCTATTAAATAATTATATTTTATTTGGTCGGTTTTCAAAGTAAAAGACATAACTTTACATTTAATTGGATTAAGTTCAAGTTTATTATTATTACACCATTCAACCACTAGATTTAAGTTCATGTGAAGTTGTTCACAGTCGCCAATACTTGTCACACGCTTGTATAATTTTAAATCATCTACATACAGTAAAAACTGCTCTTTAATTACACTCGAAATATCATTGATGAAAATATTAAATAGTAACGGGTCCAGAATGGAACCCTGAGAAACTCCAGATGTTGTTGCAAATTTGACAGACTTAAACCCATTAAGCTGTACAAACTGAGTACGATTTACTAGATAGCACTGAAAGAGATTTATCAATGGGGGGGACAACCCAAACCCTGTAAGTTTTCCAAGAAGAATGCCGTGGTCAAGTCTGTCAAATCCTTTGAGAAATCTGTGTAGATGACATCAGTCTGGGCGCGCTCATCAATAGATTCAGCAATGTATTGTGTGACGGTAACCAGGTTGGTGACTGTTGAGCGACCTTTCATAAACCCATGTTGATTGACTGATAGCATTTTACTAACATAATGATATAAGGTTTTCTCCAATAAAATTTCAAATATTTTGGAGAAAAAATATTATGGATATTGGTCTGTAATTGGTTATATCTCTTTTATCCCCCTTTTTGAAAACTGGACATACTTTTGAGGTCTTCCAAATATCTGGAACTGTTGATGTCCTGAGGCATATATTTATGAGGGTGGCTAACGGAGGAGCAAGTTGAAAGGCACAATCCTTTGTTGATGAAGTGCCAGAAAATTTGCAAGATGTTAAACAAAGAGATGATAGAAGACAGTGGCAGTTGGCAATAGAGGAAGAATTGACATCTTTAACAAAAAAAAAACTGGACATTGTGTCAAGCTCTGGAAAATAGAAAATTGATTAGATCTAAGTGGATTTTCAAGATAAAAAGGGATTGTCAAGGGAATGTGTTAAAATATAAAGCTTGACTTGTTGCAAAAGACTATTCGCAATAAAATGGTCTATAGACTACAATGACCCATATGCCCCTGTCGCAAAATTAACTACTATTAGAGTTATCTTGGCAGTAGCAAATCAGTTGGACTATGAAATGTTCCTGATGGACTGGATGCTGAAGATGGTATGGTTTGTAGGCTCAATAGATCACTTTATGGGCTTAAACACCAAAATGTTGGAATTGTTTAAATCAGTATTTACTGGAACTACAGTTCATGAGGTCTCTATCTGATTATTGCTTGTACATAAAGATTAACGAAAAATTCACCCTTTATCTACTCGTTTATGTTGACGACCTGATAATCGCATCAAATAGCTTGAACCAAATTTTGAAATTAAAATTTGATTTAAATAAGCGATTTGAGATGACAGATGAGATAAAGTATTTCTTAGGATTCACTGTGTTACGAAATAGAGAAATGAGAAAAGTGTATATAGGTAACAACAATACCTGCAGAATGTTTTAGGAAGAGTTGAAATGCAAAACTGCAATCCCTTTTAAACACCCATGGAAGTAAATTTGAAAATCGCAAGTTCAGATAATGCTGTGTTACCAAATGTAACCTACAGAGAATTAATCGGATGTCTGATGTATTCTATGCTCTGTTCTAGACCTGATTTAAGTTTTGTTTTAATTTTTTTTAGTAGATATCAAAACACTTTTTCTACATCTCATTGGCAGTTTTTAAAATGAGTTTTAAGATATCTCAAAGGAACGTTAAATTTTAACTTGATTTATAATGGCTCCAAGTCTGCGCACTCGGATATTTTGGTTGGATACGCCGACGCAGACTGGGCCGGAGATTCAAATGATAGAAAATCTATTTCTGGATATATGTTTAAAGTATTTGGATGTACCGTGTATTAGGTAACAAGAAAACAACAATCAGTATCTTTGTCCAGCACTGAAGCAGAGTATGTAGCAGTCAGTACAGCTACGTGTGAAGCATTATGGCTAAAGAACCTACTAAACGATTTAGGACTCAAAGTAGATAACTCAACAACTATTTACGAAGACAATCAAGGACGTATTTAAGTGGCCAAACATCCTCAGAATCAGAAACATATGAAACACATAGATGGATCTTAATTTTAAAATTTAAAATCTAACAGGTTCACATTTTTTTTTTCAAAAATTAAAGATTTTTATAAAAAAACTTGATTGTTTTTATAAAATGTGAATCGCAGTTACTCATTGCATCCCCTTGTATCGACGCCACTGTTCGCAATTTTCCGTTTCTAAATTTTTGATCGTAAATTATTTTTTTAAATATTCTTGTAATGGTACATTTATATTTTTTTGTTTTGTTATTCTATTAAACACCTATAATTGGGACTTGGCCTGTTGGTTGTATATTTATATAAAACAAAAATATTGACTTTCATAGTCATCATCTAGATTTAAAAAGAGTATGAATTAAGTATTTTTTTTTTTTCAGGTTTCCTATGGCCAACCTACCACTGGACCGGCGATCATGCAGCCTACGCAAGAACCTCCTGCGTATACAAAAACCGGACAACAGGCCCAAAATGTTCCTAAACCTTCCTTGGACACGGCAGAATTACAAGTAAACTTTTAATTAAATGCCCGCATTACTAATCATTTTAATTCTTGTTATGATATCACTACTGACAAAAATAAAGTTCTATTTATATAAAGGGTGATACTTCTACAGAATAAACGTAAACAGACTTATCAGCTTACGTTTGGATACACAGGGCCGGATTTGATTTTTTTTAAATCTGCTTCTTGTTTAGTTACATTGATTTTTCAATTTTTTTTTATGAAACCCTGAATACATATTAAACTTTACGCATTAATTGAGGAGCTTGCGCGGAAAACTTAACAGTTCAGCATAACTCAAAAGTCAGAAAAGTAATATTTTCCCTACAACGATTTCCCATTTAATTAAATTTTTTTTTTTTTCAATAAAAATAGTTTTAGGATGTATTTTGAGTTTTAAATACCAAAAATTTTTCAAAAACCGCCCGCTGTTTCTGAGATATACCTAATGAAAAGAAACAGTTTGTACTTGTTCAATTTTGCTTGAAAGGATAGGAATGTTGAATGGCAGTATTGCCCCCTTAAATCTCACACCGACAAATAATCATAGAAATGGGCCCGTTCACTTTTATTTTTGAATGTGAATTATTTATATATTTATAAAGATATTAAACTCTTTTGTCTGGTGGTACTTTTCCCGTTAAAATATTTTTGCTAGAAGTAAGAGAATTCCCATAAAATTCTTTCAGTGACTCATTGCGTCAGAAAACCCCTAATTCCCTTCAGGTCTCGTATCGGTTAATAGTTAAAAGGGCGCGGTTGTCGGATGTATCATTGCACCACCATTCCTCTTCTGCATTTATTAAAGAAATTTACATGATAAAAATATATTATTTTTTAAAAATAATGTGTTTATATTTTCAGATAAAGCTGGAAGCCTTACCTTTTTTAAATTTTAATAAAACCAATTAGTATTACTCAAGCTGAATATTACCAGATCGAAATTTTATATTTGAGAAAATGTATCTCGTAAACGTGACAACGTTGTAAGTACTTCTAAATAGTGTTGTCTACACACACTTCTAGAAATAAATGCAACGTTGCCACGTTTACCAGATAAATATTGCAAATCAAATTTCTACTTTTTGATTATGGTCTGGTTAATTTTCAGCCTGAGTAATAATAATTGTTTTAATTAAAAAGTAAAAATAAGCTCCCAGCTTTAAATCTGAAAATATAAGTTCATGATTTTTAGAAAAATAATGGAATTTTACTATTTAAATTACATATATAAATGCAGAAATGCTATATGAGGGATACTTCCGACAACCCCGCCGTCTTTAAGCATAACCGATACGAGACGTGAACGGAATTAGGGATTTTCTGACGCAATGAGTCACTGAAAGAATTTTATGGGAATTCCCTTACTTCTAGCAAAAATATCTTAACGGGAAAAGTACCACCAGACAAAAGAGTTTAATATCTTTATAAATATATAATTAATTTACATTCAAAAATGAAAGTGAACGGGCCCATTCTAAGAGCTTGCTCTTCTATCTTTACATTAAATTTTTGCTCACCACAAAATATATGGCACCAACGGTATTAAATAGTTCATTAATCATATTAATACAGGGCCATAAATACTTGTTCAATTTTGCGGTGAAGAGGTTTATTTCTAATTTAATAACATGGATATTTGTTGAGTTTTGTTATAAAATAGCATGTAAATTTATGGGAACGTAATTTGTTCAGTTTCAGTAAAATTGTTGAGTTTTAGCGTTTTAAAGCGATCTGGCGCAATAACTCATTTATTTCAGATCAAATCAGTTTATTCACCATAAAAGGACATTCACATAGTGAAAGCCACTTAACAGGCTAGTCAACTTTAAACAATATTAAAATTTTTAAAAACAATTATCTTAAAAAATAGTAAACACTTAATTATATACATAAGACTACTTATATTATTAAAAGAAACATAGAATTGAGGAATTCATCAATATTGTAAAATGTGTTATTGTAGAGGAAGTTAATAATTTTATTCTTTATGCTGTTCCTTGGGCCGACTAAGTCAATAAGCGTTTTCATTTTATTGAAACATTTAACCCCTATATAATTGGGAGACTCAGTCTTGAGAAGGGTGCATGAATTTCATCATTATGGCAGGTATTACATGAGTGAATTTCATTGTTTAAGGTGACCTGGTTCTTATTATCATAAATATACAGTATTAATTGTAAAATATATAAAGAGTGCACTGTTATAATTTCATATTTCATAAATAGATTTCGGCAGCTTGCTAATGGATGAGCTCTATCCATATATCTTACAATTTTCTTCTGCATGATGAATGCTCTATCTATATGTGAGGAGGAATACCATACCGACAAGCCATACTGTAACTGAGATTGGACCAGTGCGAAATATAATATTCGCAAGATGTTAATGGAAACGTTATCCCTAAGACTTCTCAAAATAAAGCAGATGCTACTCAGCTTTGAGCATCGCTTATTGATATGAAGCTCCCACGTTAGATTAGGATCAAAAGTTACACCTAGAAATTTCATTGATTTAATGCTTTCTATTGATTTTCCAAAAAGTTTAATTAGCAAATCTTCGTCAGGAGTAATATTTTTAGGTAGAAACCTCATATATAAGGTTTTCTCGCAATTTAGCTGAAGGCCATTTTCCTCGCAATATCCCTCAAATTCCATTGTGACGTTATTTTTATTTTCTACTAGGGTACTGACACATTTCTCAGACAGTATCATATTGGCATCATCCGCATAAAAAACAGCTTTATCTGATGTTTCACAAATGTTTGAAATGGCGTTTATAAAAATTATAAAGAATATTGGCCCAAGCAATGTGCCTTGGGGAATGCCTAATGCATTACTTTTGCATTCAGATAAAGCCCCATCAACAGCTGCTGTCTGACACCGATCCGCCAAATATGAGACTACCCAGTCATGTGGCTTTCCTCTTATTCCTATACCTTCGAGTTTTTTTTAATAGTAAGCTGTGGTCTATTGAGATAAAGGTCATAAAAAATTCCTATAAAATGCTGTTTCCGGTTAAGTTCATATATATAGTTTATACATTCTAATATTGCTGTGTTAGTTGATTTATTAGCTCCAAACCCATGTTGGCTGTCGGAAATAATTTTAAAATTTTCGAGATACTTTACTGGTCTAGTGGAAAATGCTGCTTCAAAAAGTTTAGCTGTTTTACTTTGTATACAAATAGAGCGGTAATTTAGATTCTTTAAGAGTCGGAAAAGTTCCGGTAGTGAATGATAAGTTGATTATATATGTAAGTGGTACACATACAGTATGGTTCAAATGAAAGGAATAAATTCATTATAATGGAAGTAGTTGGTTTTTCGAAAAAATGCTTGGACAGGTCAATTTTGTTTACTAAAAGCGCAATTTTTTAAAAAGAATTCAAGTTTCCCACACTTCCCATTTTTGGGCAGTGACGTCTTTGGCAATTTTTTTAAATAGTAACCCCAATTTTTTTTTATTGATTTTGGTAGATCTTGTAATTTCCTACTCGGAAACATAATATTTGAAATATCTTACACAACAATTTTTTTGATTAAAAGTCATTTAAAGAACAGACACATACATTTTATTTTGAACGAAAGATAATTATTTGTAATTAAGTGCTTAATCTAACAAAATAATAATAATAAAAAAGAATTTAATGACAATTTCACAGCAAAATAATTAAAAAATATTCTACTAAATTAGGTATTCAAAAGGTCCTCCACCGACGTCTTGCCTTTTATTAGTACAATAATAATAATTATTATTATTATTATTATTATTATTATTCATTAAATACAAGCAAATCTATATCAAGTGCTCAAATTGTTGCCCTCAGCTAAAATACAATGGAAAAGACGTGCAGCGATCTCTTCTTGGACGTTTTCCAAAATTTCCGGAGTTATGTTTGCAATCTCAATACGTATCCGTTCTTTGAGATCATTAATATTTTGTGGTCTATTTTGGTATACTTTACTTTTCAAGTATCCCCATAAAAAGAAATCAAGAGGAGTTAAATCGGGTGACCTAGGAGGCCATTCTATTGATCCTCTTCGACCTAACCATCGATTTGGGAAGATGTTGTCCAAGTAGTTGCGCACAAAGACAGCATAGTGTGGAGGCGCACCGTCTTGCTGTAGCCACAAATCATTTCTGTTTGGGAACAATCGGTTCAATTCGGGGATCAAGAAGATTTGAAGAAATTCTAAATATCGTGGATCTGTTAAAGTTTCTTCGAAAAAGTATGGTCCAATAGTCTTATTATCTATTATTCCCGCCCAAACATTCACTTTTTCTGGGTATTGAGTATGATACTCTTGCATCCAGTGTGGATTTTCGGTAACCCAATACCGAGAAGTCTGACGATTGACATGACCGTTTGGTAACAATTAGATTCATTGGAAAAAGTATATTTTTTTAAAAACATTGGATTTCTGTTGTTTTTGTCCATTATAATTTCAGAGAATTCAACTCGTTTATCAGTTATCTTCCATAAGTTCTTGTACTAAATTAACTTTGTAGGGATGCCACTTCTGCTTCTTCAGCGTTCTAAGAACTGTTGAATTTTCCAAGTCATTATCTAATAATACTTTTCGTGAACTGGTATGGGGATTATCTTCAAAGACTAATAGAACATCCAGTTTCTTGTTTTCGGAAATTGGGTTTCTACTGCCTTTAGTGATGTCGTTCACATGACCCGTTTCTCTAATTTTTTTCTCAATTTTACTCACAGTGGATTGTGAAATTGGTTCTGTTTGGGTATTTATTATTAAATAACGTACATACATCTTTCTGCGTACGTGTTCTATCTCCACAACCAATCATTATTAAAACTTCAATTCTTTGCGTTTCAGTCAGCTTTATGTTGATAAATACAAAAACTTTTTGAAAACGTCCACCACAATACTATTAACCACTTGATAGAAAGCGAATTTAGTTGAATGTCAAGGTAGCAATTTTGATAAGGTAACTAGATTCGTTTTAGAAAAAGTAAAAAATAAGATTTAAAAATAATAAAGAAATAATATACAAAACTAAATTACTTAGACGTCAGTGGAGGACACCTAATTTGGTAGAATATTTTTGAATTATTTTGCTACGAAATTGTCATTCAATTCTTTTTTATTATTATCATTATTATTATTATTTTGTTAGATTAAGCACTTAATTACAAATAATTATCTTTTGTTCATTTAATGTGTTCTCAAAATAAAATAAAATTTATGTGTCTGATCTTTAAATGACTTTTATTCAACAAAAATTGTTATGTAAGATATTTCAAATATTATGTTTCCGAGTAGGAAATTGCAAGATCTATCAAATTCAAGAAAAAAAAATTGGGGTTACTATTTTAAAAAATTGACAATGACGTCACTGTTCAAAAATGGGAAGTGGGAGAAAATTGAATTCTATTTAAAAAATTGACTTGTCCGAGCATTTTTTGGAAAAACCAACTACTTCCATTATAATGAATTTATTCCTTTCATTTGAACCATACTGTATGTATTCAGCAACCGTAACGAGAACTCTGCCATTTATATTGTCTATACCAGCGGAAGGTTTAGTATTGTTTTTTTTTTTTTCAGTAAAGTTATTACTTCTGGGACTACTGGTATGAGAAAAAATCCGTTAGGAAAATTTACTGTCTGAATACTAGTCCGTCTGGTTTTGGACAAGTATCAGCTAATCCTACAAAATAATTATTTAATACATTACTTTTTTCTAGAGGATTTGTTATTTTGTTTCCATTAATTTCTAGTTCGGGTATAGAGGAACTACAGTGTACCGCACCTGTTTCATTTTTGATTATTTTCCAGCTATCTTTCATAACATTTACAGAATTTTTTATTATTTCATCATTTTTATTCTTTTGGTAATATTTAACAGTATTTTTATAGATTGTTTTAAATACTTTGGACCTAAAAGTATAGGACTTGTTAAATTTTGAGCGCAAGCTTTTCAATTATTATTTTATATTCTTTGTTGTTAATGCAGTTCTAATTATTCGACGTAATAAAAAATGATTGCTTTTTTAGAGGAGACAAGAAGAATTAGAACGCAAAGAACAAGAATTGGCACGACGTGAAGAAGAGATGAGAAATGCTAGCTACAATGTAAGACGTAATAATTGGCCACCTTTGCCTGAACAGTGTTGTTTTCAACCCTGCTTCTACCAAGACATACAAGTTGACATACCTTTAGAATTCCAAAAAATCGTCAGGACACTTTATTATCTTTGGATATGTAAGTAATTCGTTTTTTATTCACATGGATATATTATTACTTTTTTTATTTTAGATCATGGTGCTCTGATGATAATAAATGTGATAGGTGGAATAATTTTGCAAGATTATAAAATTGTTGGACTTGGTGTATTATACGTTTTGTTATTTACGCCATTTGGTTATCTTTGCTGGTTTAGACCGGCATACAAAGCATTCCGATCGGATTCTTCATTCAATTTTATGGTATTTTTCTTTATCTTCTTCTTTCAATTCGTAATTTCTACTATTCAGACCATTGGAATACCTGGTTCTGGAACTGTGTAAGTTATAATAAAATTTCTGTTAATTTTGATTTTATGAGAAACCTTTTAATATCAAACTACTTAATACATGACGATGTTAAAAATAAAAGTTACTCAATTTTTTTTAGCGGAATCATTACAGCCCTTTCAACTTTCCAAAGCACAACTTGGAGCATTGTTAGTGGAATTATCGCATTGTTCATTGCTGTAGGATTTGGACTTGCTGCCGCAGCAGATCTTTTTCTGATCTCTAAGGTAAAAATTTAACTAACCACAATTGTTCTAAAATAATTTACTAATATTTTACATGGGAGCTACTGTTTGGAAAATCAGGAAACACTCGGGGAATAAAAGTTTTCACTTTTCTTTAGTCTTCTTGTCAGGTTGGTGTTGTCAAGAAGCTAAACTACGCCGCAGATGAAGTGGGACAGCCAAAAAATTGCCTAATTTTGACTAGCTGTAACTTCGACATTTCTTTGCCGATGTTAGATTTTCAGCCAGAGGTGGAAAGCGCCATCCTTGCTGTTTGCGTCAGTGGCATTGAATATATTTTTTTTAATAGCTTCTTGTTGTACAGGGTGTGAATGTAAGGCAGCGAAAAATGTCCGTTTTTTGGCAAAGAATTTGGAAAATGTGGGGGACCAAATCAAGTTCTTTCTGATGTTGAGTGGATCACTAGGTTGACACCTCGGGATGTCTGCCATTTTTTTGATACTTTGCGTTGCTATGGAAATATCGCCATTTTATGAAATTCCATATTTCTTTTAAAATTAGTCTTTTTTTAATTAAAGAATAACAGATACCGACTAAACTGCATCAAGGAATAACGTGTAAAGAAAATGGTCAACACCAGCGGCGTGCAAAAAGGGGTTTAGGAAATTTAAAAAACGAAAACTTGATTTTATTTGAAATTTTTAACACTTTTGGTAAGCGTTACAGTTTAAAAGGTGTCATAACTGTAATGAGTTTGATTTTGACTAATTGAGAGGTGTACAAAAAGGGTTCAGTAATTAAAAAAAAAAACAGTTTTTTTTATTGGTTTTTATTTTATAAAGTGTGTACATGGATTTCATTAGAATATTAAAATAAACCTAACCTAACTTTAATAAATATTTGTTAATTATTAATTAGTAAGGCGTTGGACCTCCTCTAACCTGAATAACTGCCTGACACCGCCTTTGCATGCTCGAAATTAAGTTATTAGTTAGCTCCATAGGAACTGCCTCCCAGAGCTCTAAAATCATCTCCTCGAGATCGTCTAGAGTTTCTGGCTGACGTTCCCTTCGGGAAAACTCCAACTTCATCCAGCTCCAGACGGGGCTCAATAGGATTCAAGTCTGGAGATCTAGGAGGCAATTCAGTACGATTAAGGTTTTGCTCTTGTATATATCTGTTTACTAATAATGCTCGATCAGGACGAGCATTATCGTCCACAAGAACAAAATCCTCGCCATAATTTCGAGCATGCGGGAGAACTAGCGGAATCAGACATTCATTCAGGTAAACCTGGCCGTTTACATTACCCCGAAATACCACGAGTTCTGTCCTTCCGTTGTGTTGAATACCGCCCCAAACCGTCAATCCACCACCGCCAAATGCAACTTGGGGACGCATATTTTCTGCTAAATAACGTTCTCCCCGTCTCCGCCAAGATAGCAATCGGCCGTCGGAATTGTAGAGGTTGAAACGGCTTTCATCAACGAAAAGACAGTCTCTCCACCTACGATCCCAATTTATATGTTCTTGGGCCCATCTTTTCCTGTTGGCCCGGTGAATGTCAGTTAAAAGTGGGCATTTTGGCCGACGGCGAGCATTTAATCCCTGATCATGTAGGCGTCCTCTAATAGTGTCTGCTGAAACGTTTAACTGCAGTTGCGCTCGGATTCTCTTGGCAGTCCAAACTCTGTTTCTGATTGCAGTCCGTACTACTGCTCGATCCTGACGAGGATTAGTTCTTTTTCGAGATCCTCCCCCGTGTCGGTAAGCAGCAGTACCATTGTTACCTTCTCTCTGCAACGCTCTTCCAACGGATGATTTCTTGACATTAAAAAAATTAGAAATCTCTCTTATTGTGTGATTTATCTGCCGCAATCTTAAAATATTCACCAAATCTGCAGCCGTAAGTCGCGCCATTTGGACAATAGCAATTTATTTTTGTTTTGACGTATGCAATCTAACGTCAAAATCTTATCTCTATGGTAATATTTTTGTCGCCTTCTTGATATAATTGCAGAAATAAAGTTTCGTCAAAGCAAATGTCCCGACTTACAAATGCAAAAATGGTAAGTACCTATTATTGCTTACTGACACTATCAGTAAGCGCTTACAGGGTGAGTAGCTTTACTTTTGTATTCCTCTGAATTAGTCAAAATCAAACTCATTACAGTTATGGCACCTTTTAAACTGCAACGCTTACCAAAAGTGTTAAAAATTTCAAATTAAATCAAGTTTTCGTTTTTTAAATTTCATAAAACCCTTTTTGCACGCCGCTGGTGTTGACCATTTTCTTTACACGTTATTCCTTGATGCAGTTTAGTCGGTATCTGTTATTCTTTAATTAAAAAAAGGCTAATTCTAAAAGAAATATGGAATTTCATAAAATGGCGATATTTCCATAGCAACGCAAAGTATCAAAAAAATGGCAAAGACGTCCCGAGGTGTCGACCTAGTGATCCACTCAACATCAGAAAGAACTTGATTTGGCCCCCCACATTTTCCAAATTCTTTGCCAAAAAACGGACATTTTTCGCTGCCTCACATTCACACCCTGTACAACAAGAAGCTATTAAAAAAAATATATTCAATGCCACTGACGCAAACCGCAAGGATGGCGCTTTCCACCTCTGGCTGAAAATCTAACATCGGCAAAGAAATGTCGAAGTTACAGCTAGTCAAAATTAGGCAAATTTTTGGCTGTCCCACTTCATCTGCGGCGTAGTTTAGATCGCAATAACGTTCACTTGTTGGTGTTGCCGTTGTTCGTAACTCCTAGCAAATCTGGTGATAGACTGGTCAACAGTGTCCATCTAAAGATCTTGATGGAGGTCGCTGTTTCTAATGTACCGAGAAACCAATACTGTTCCTTAATATTTTGTTCTAGATTATTGGGATATTACTGTTGCTGGCACAACCACAGAATTTAATGCCATACGTTTAAACTAGTTTTGAGGACTTATTTATACAAAATAATTTAATAATAATAATAATTTAATAATAAAATATGTAAAAGGTCTTTACAAAAACATACCACATATTCCTTAGACCAAAATAAGTCGATTTAAGTAAAATTACATTAGTACAAAGTTGCTTCGTTTGGGCTCCAGAGGGCCTTGAAGTTACAATTTTTAAATCGTTTTTCCCATCTAAATATAAAACGGCATATGCGATTTTGCTGTAATTTGGTATATTGGTAAAGTTTTATGTGGCAAAAAATGGTGTTAAAATTTTGTCCGATAATAATACATAGGCGTAGAACTTGATTTTTTAAATAATTGCACCTTTAAAAATTCTATGCCAATGGAAGAAAAGGAGTTTGAGTATGAAATTTAGATTGCGCAACTCATTTACTTTAAAAAAGGTACTCTTGATAAGACTCGATTACTCTCATGGTTCTGACGAAATTTGCATTTTAGTAATTTTAGAACATAAACAATAATTATTAAAATACAAACTTTGTCAAAACCATGAGAGTAAATCGAGTGTTATCAAGGGTACTTTTTTGTAGTAAATAAGTACCCAATCCAAATTTCATACTCAAACCCCTTTTCTGCCATTGGCGTAGAATTTTTAAAGGTGCAATTATTTAAAAAATCAAGTTCTACGCCTATGTATTATTATCGGACAAAATTTTATACGATGAAAAACATAAAAATGTACTTTTTTCATATCTTCTTCAACACCTCTAATCGAGACTTTTAACAAAAATACTCGATTCTTGCCATGTACGATTTTTTGAGGAATATTAATTATTTGCCTGCAATACGTATACAAAAACATTTTATTGTTGGTTTCCGTAGTTTCATCTAAATAAAAATATTGTCAAGTTTTAACACCTAATCTCTTGTTAACGATTGAAAGTGTTCTATCTGACTCAATAATTAAAAAACAAATGCGTGGTTTATTAGTATGGCTGTACAATATACCAATGCAGAATATACCGATATGTTACTGACATTAGGATATTGTGAAGGAAATGCTCGAGAGAGTGTCAGGGTGTACTCTGAAAGGTTTCCAAATCGTCGTGTACCTAGCCACCCAACTTTTGCTGCTGTTGAGAGACGTCTTCGGGAGACCGGTTCCTTTGCTCCCAACACTGTTGATAATGGAAGAGAACGTTTTGTAAGGATTTCTGAAGTTGAAGAAGACATTTTAGAATGTGTTGAAGAAGATCCAGAATTAAGCACCAGACGAATTGGAAGGGAACTAGGAGTAAGTAAAATGTCGTTCATAAAGTGCTTAGAGAACAATTGCTATATCCATACCATAAGAAGCCAGTACAAGAATTATTAGTCCATGATCCTCAAATTCGTTTGGGGTTTTTGCCAATTTGTTAATATGCAAAGATAAAGAGATCCAAACTTTGTCAAGAAGGTTCTCTTTACCGATGAAGCGGGTTTTACAAGAAGAGGTATAACTAATATCCATAATGAACATGTTTATGCCGTTGAAGATCCGCATGCAATAAAAGTAAACCATTTTCAGCACGAATTCAAAATTAATGTGTGGGCTGGAATAATTGGTAATTTCATTGTTGGTCCTGTCATACTTCCACGAAGATTAACTGCAGAAAATTATTTGGATTTTCTACAAAATACGTTGCCAGAATTGTTAGAAGATTTACCTCTCCAACTTCGGAGAGATATGTGGTTTATGCAAGATGGAGCTCCATCACATTTTTCTTTAAACGTTAGAAAACACTTGAATGAACAATATCCACACAAATGGATAGGCAGAGGAAATGACGCACCTGTAAACTGGCCACCACGTTCCCCAGACCTAACACCGATGGATTACTTTTTATGGGGACATCTGAAATCCACAGTTTACAGGGAACCTGTAGAAAATGAGGAACAACTCTGGCAACGTATTCAAGATGCAATAAACAATCTTAGAGGTGATGAAGGAGTTATGGAAAGGATACATTTTAATTTTCTTCGACGTATAAATCTTTGTATGCGTGAAAATGGTGAACATTTTGAACAATTTTTGTAAAATCTCTATTTTGATTATGTTGTAAATAAATATTTTTGTGAAACCTATACACTCTAAATTATTAAAACAGAAATTTAGCGAAAACCATGAGAGTAATCGAGTCTTATCAGGAGTACCTTTTTTAAAGTAAATGAGTTGCGCAATCTAAATTTCATACTCAAACTCCTTTTCTTCCATTGGCGTAGAATTTTTAAAGGTGCAATTATTTAAAAAATCAAGTTCTACGCCTATGTATTATTATCGGACAAAATTTTAATACCATTTTTTTGCCACATAAAACTCTACCAATATACCAAATTTCAGCAAAATCGCATATGCCGTTTTAAATTTATATGGGAAAAACGAATTAAAAATTGTAACTTCAAGGCCCTCTGGAGCCCAAACGAAGCAACTTTGTACTAAGGTAATTTTACTCAAATCGACTTATTTTGGTCTAAGGAGTATGTGGTATGTTTTTGTAAAGACCTTTTACAGATGTAGATAGGCTGGAATGCCTACTAACTAGTGCATTTTCTTGAATGTTATATCCAGTTCTTGTCATTTCCTTTAAGGACCTTTTAGTGAAGTCTTGCATCTAATATAATATCTAGATATTTTGCTGAGTTAACATAAGAAATCTGGGCATTATTTATGATAATTGGTATTTATTAGAGATGGAACTTTTCTTAAAAAGTAATTTTTGGAGTAGTCCGACGGACATGTCCGGAAAAGTAATGAAAACTCACAATTAAAAGCATAGAAGATACACACAGTTAAATTTCCATCCTGGATGTTTTTTCAAAAACACTTTGGGAACAATATTTGCATTTGTATTTTCGTTTTTTTTTAGACAACTCATTTGTAAAATACTTCTAACCTTTGGATTTTTTTGTAATTTTTTCACGAGTTTATTTTAATAAGGTATGAAACGAAAATTCGAAAACATCGTTAAAACATTATAAAAGTCAGTAAACATTTGTCGTTTCTTCTTTTTTAAACTAAATTTTTCCCTTGTAAGAAATTCAGACGAATTAGTTAATTTAATTTCGCGCATGCGCAATACACTTTTCCACTGGGCTAGTCAATTTTCAGACTAGTCCGTCGGACTTGTCCGTGGACTTTTTACCACTTTTGTTAGTAAAATTAATATTAACAGATTTGGTTTCATTTAGTTGAACGTCATCTTTTGGTCCAGTTATTTATTTGATTAACTGATGTTTGTAGTTATCGTTATCTTTGTCTATCGCTAGGATGACAGTATAATCTGCAAATAAAGCTATGTCTTCTTCTAGTTGGGGTATATCACACGTGTATAGCAGGTACAAAATTGGTTCTAGGACGCTATCCTGTGGTACTCCTGTTTTGATTTCTTTCAATTCAGACTATGCTTCATTTTGTTTTAATCTTAACAATCTATTGATCTATATTTTAGTTTACTGAAGAGGCCAAAATATTCTAAGTTTTCCAATATTATCTGTATGCATAAAAAATTTACCTGTGTGTTCGCCTTTTTTTGATGTGAGATACTGTATTATATACGTTTTCCCAGCTGTAAACTAATTTTTATGACAGCAGTATCTTTTGAAAACCAGATGATTAGTGTATAAAAAATACTGTTATACTTTTTTCTTCTGCTTCTTCCTCCTCTTCTTCTTCTACTTCTTGTTTTAAGTAAAACGTTTTCTGTTTCACTGTTTTTGTTTTAAATTTTGTCAGTGAATATTTTTTTAGATAAAAAAAATTCGTCAAAACTATGGAATATACACTGGCGCCAGTCCAACACATGTGTATGGTGCAGTATAGCAGCTGCAAATGAAAATTTGACAATTCAGAGTTATAAGGGTGACACTCTGAAAGTGAGGCCCAATTCGTTTGCTGTTTTTCTTTATCTAATTCAGGATAGTTTGCAAATATTTATGAAACAATTTGTATCTCAACTGGATTTTGCAATCAAAAACAAAAAAATGCTAAGTACTAACAAAAAAATGTTCCTATTTAGATTAGAGACTCGAATTTGAAGTGAGAATTTATTTTCATAGAAAACCGATTACTAAAGGAAACTGCACAATATAAAAAACGAATATGTTCATTTAAAACGGCCCACCCTAAATATTTCAAAAATGAATAGTATGATGAGTTCTAATTTAACCTCTTCCCTACAGATCTCCTTGTGGCGAGGGATACTTCATTTATAACTTACTTTAAACCTTCGACCACTTGTTTTTTGTTAAATGTTTTTCTGTTTTTTAAGGTATTTGTTTAATTTAAAAAGATTAATATCCAATTATTACAAACGTAAATAACACGCAAAACAATAATTATTCTTTGTTGTTGTCCTTCATGATTATTATATGTAGTATGGCATTTAATCATGCCGACAAGCACAATATTCAAAAAGCTAACTAAAAAACATTAACACGTGATTTACAATAATAAGTTAGCTAAGGTTCGATTTCCTAATGAATATTGAAAAACAGGAAACAGGAGGACAGTCCAAAAAACTAGCAGGCAATATAGGAAAAGAACAGGAAATGAAGGAAAGGACTTGGCAAAGAACTGTACAAGAAACAGAAACAAAGAGTTATGAAAATAAAGCAGAGAATGCTGAAAGAAAAAGAGAAAAGAAAAATAGAAGTGAATTGAGAATAAGTACCTGGAATATTAGAACAATGTTAGAACCTGGAAAAATGCAAGACATACGAAAAGAACCCAAAAGATATGGCATAGGTGTTGCAGCAATTCAGGAAATAAAATTTTAAGACACAGAAACAATTAAAAATAAAGGATTTACGTTACATTATTCTGGGCACGAAAAATAGGAACAGTAGGGGTGGAATTTATGAAACTACGCGATCTACAAGAAAAAACAATAGAATTTAACCTAGTAAATGAAAGAATAGCCTACCTATGAGTAAAAGTAAAACTATTCAATATATCATTGCTTAATATATACGCTCTTGTGGAAAAAATCATCCTAACCCCATATTTTTAATCAGGTACTGATATGGGTTAATATTTAATTTAGTCTTCATGATATCCATACATACCTAACATAGACCCAACTATTTAGTGTCTTGAATTAATTTAGACCAGTGCAATATTTATTTTTTATCAAAGATTCGTATGCCCCGCCCTACTTTGTGATGTCACACTTTGACTATGTGCTATGCATAAAATAATGTGATTTAAATGATTTTAAGCAGGCACATTATTTGTTTCACGGATCTGTTGATGTGTTGACCTCCCTTTTTATCTACATGCTTTCGCGAAAATCTCTCGCTCAGAGACGCAATTAGCCAGAGCACAGTGGCGTACCAAAAATAGAGATTAACACGTACGAAAACAATAAAATTATTAAAATTGAATTTATATTTTTGTTATTTATTTTAAAATTATGTGTTTTTATTAAATGTAACTGGGTGTTCACTGCACCAATAAACCAATGAAGAAACCGCCCCTGTGTCCATGTTTCTATATCAAAATTCCTCAATTAACGAGAGCTTTCTGAGATAGAGCGTTGTAGGTTGAATATACTCCTAACATGTAAACTTTGGGTAAAAAGTATTGTGGAAATAATTTCAATATAGTAAATAATTAGATGTTTTGTTAATTAGATCGGATGTAAAAAATCATAGAGGATAACAGCGAAGAATAATTAATAGACTTACCTGTAAGAATGCTCAATCTAAATTAATCGAGCTGTTGTTCGTAATGGTTATGTTCCCTCCCATTCCTTGGAATTCTCCAGGGCGATCTAATTAAATAAATGCAATAATTAATGTTCACATATTTGTGATGAGTCATGCGTTAACGTTTTTTAGTAAGGCTCTTTGTATATTGTGCTTGTCGGTATGACTAAATGCATAATACAGTGTGTAATAATAATTATGAACAACAGCTCGATTAATTTACATCGATTATCCTTACAGGTAAGTCGATCAATCATCTATTAATGATTTAATACGAAGTTTAAAATGAGCAATACTAACATTCAGACAGTAGTATAATTACTCATTTTTTAAATTCCCTTGTCACTTTGGGATATGTTTCTATATTCTTAACTCTTCAAGGGTTTTCTGTTGTATTTCAATGCCACAAAGCTTCAAATGACACCTCTGAGTTAAATCTGGAGATCGAATGAACTACTCGCCTTTATCTCTTCGACCAATCTGTTTAATTTATCTATTCTCTTACGGGAATGTCAATTACTAAACCTATACCTCTATAGTTTCTGAATCCCACAGAAACAAAGCTCAGAATATCTTGTAAATATCAGTGAGTAGTTATTATGTATATATAAAAAAAAAACATAAAAATTCATTTTTAGATTCATCATATGTACAGAAGCACTGGCGCCAGTATGGCAAAAGCACAACAGGAATTCACCACGGAGTTCTTCCGCAACCAGCACGTAAGGACCGCCGCTAGTAACGTCGCTGCAGCCGCAGTACAGTCGCAGTTAAACCAAAATAATCAAAGCAACCCAAGATATTAGTTATAGAAACTATTACTACATTATTATATAACTTTTAAGTCTCAGTATTTAATTCCCGAAAGACTTCTAACTTTTTGTTAATTGTTAAAATGAAATTAATATCATTAATTGTAAAAAAAAGAACAAAAGAACTTAAAAATACTATAAAATAATTATTTGTAGGCGATTGTTGAAGATTTTGAAAATTATAGTATTTTTAACTACTGTGTTTATTGTAAATGACTTTGTATATTGGACTATGTGATTACAAAATTGGAAGGGTAACTTCAATATCAGACTTGAATTATTGTATTTCTAAAAAAAATACTATACGAGATTTTCCAATACATACGGAAAACTACACTGATTTGTCGCTAAAATATTAAATTACGTATTTTTTTACATGCAATCGATTATTTTTATGTATTGGAAAATCATTGTATGTAATCTTGTTACATCGATTTTAAATATATAGGTTGTACATATTTATTATTATTTTTTTTTTTTCATTATAAGGTTTTCTTAATATATACTTCAAATAGTTACTATTGATCGAGTTAGAAATATTTGTGGTATATATTTCGGAAATAATATATATTCTATGAGCTATTTCATTGTTGCATCCTCGTCAATTATCTGTATTTTGATAAAGCGTTAGGTTTGAATTTAAAATGCTGTGTAACAGATTTTAAAATTATCTTATTTAATAGTAGATCATTGACAGTACCATAATATCAACCAATAAAATTGTGAGCATCAAATTGGGAGTTTTTAATTGTCAATATATACAAGGTGTTTCAATATTAAATCGGCTTGCATTATTTTATATTATAAACTTGTCGTAGTGTCAGTAATGTATATCTTGAAACACCCTGTATATTACAACGTTACAGACATGTAGTTCTTTGGCTTCAAGTGGTCCTATAGTGTTTTTTCTGCATACTTTTTCACTCTCAATTGTACCGCTCATAGCCCATTTTTCGTCCTTTGTTTTTCTTCCGTGCTAAAAAGTTTTGTGATACTTTAATTCGTCTATTTGTTTATTGTTTTTTTGTCCGCCATACAAGTCTTGGATTTTATTTGTTTTTAGTCTCTAAAAATTTTTAGTTGTAACTTCTGCTTAAATCACTGTATAAACATTCTTCTTTCCCTGATATCTAATGTGCTTGTCTCCTGTATGTTTAATACCCAGAGCAGTACTACTACAGGACATCTGTAAAGACTCAGTTTGACTGTCAGTGAAACTTGTTTACATTTAACCAGTTTCTTGCTTGCTCTAGTTTGTTGCGATTTGTAAATTCCACTCTGAATAGTCCTAGAGGTGGGAATAAAATGAAAATGTATTTTCTCATAAGTTATTAAAAGTTTGACATTGTAAAACTATAAGAATACTAAATAAAAAACCGTTTGCATACCGGACCTTAGTTGTCGCCTTTAAGGCCCATAATCCTCAAAATTTTGAAAAAATCGATATACATTTACCTCATTAGTAACCGGAAAAATTTTAAGTTGATATTGTTTTTCATTTTTGACTGATTTTTTTAAATATTCAACCCCTCTTAACCCCCATTTTTATTCGTAGGCTTCGTCCCCTTATGCAACTTGATTTGCCTGAAAATTTAAAGTTTATTTCGTTTTTGATTTAATTTTTTTTTATTTCAAGCCCCTTAACAACCCCCCTCTCCCCACCTTTAATTTTTTTTTTATATATATCGATAGGCTTCGTCCCCTTTATAGATTTTGATTTTTACTAAAAATTTCATATTGATATCACTTTTCGCTATTAATTTATGATTTTCTTTAAATTTAAACTTCTCTTAACCCGCCATTTCTATTCATAGACTTCGTCCCCTTGATTTTCCTGAAAATTTTAAGTTGATATTGTTTTTCGTTTTTGACTGATTTTTTTAAATATTCAACCTTTCTTAACCCCCATTTTTATTCATAGGCTTCGTCCCCTTATGCAGCTTGATTTGCCTGAATATTTAAAGTTTATTTCGTTTTTGATTTTTTTTTTTTTAATTTCAAGCCCCTTAACAACCCCACTCTTCCTACCCTATCTTCAATCAGATTTTTTTTTCAAAATCAATAAGTCGTCCCCTTATAGAGCTTGATTTTCCTGAAAAGTTCAAGTTGATATCGCTTCTGATTTATTATTTTTTTTTCAATTTCATCTCCCTTTAACCTCCCCATTTTTTTTTTTTTTTCATAGGATTGGTAACCGCATGGAGCTTGATTTTCTTGATAATTTAAAGTTGATATCGTTTTTGTTGAGAATTGTGGGTATTTTTATAACTTTACAAACGTTTGATAACTTATGAGGCAGTTCATTTTACTTCCAGCTCTAGGACCACAAATATTCAAATCCTTATCTTCCTCAAAACAATAGTAATACATTTCTGATGACAATTATTAAATCGTAATTGTTTATTATTGACATTTCTTCTCACTTGTTTTTTTTTTGTTTAATTTAGATACTAGGTGCACACAAATTACTGGAATCACTTTAAAAAACTACTTTTGATAATCTTAATTTTAAAACACACTGATTAACATTAATAATTATTATCTAATTGTGTTTTAAGCTATTATACGTTTATTAAATATAGTTTTTTAATTCTCCATTTTTCCCATTATTTACAAAAAAAAAATTAAATGGCATCGCGAAGAAAGTGACGTAATACACTGGATAATAGGTACCTCTAGGCGAGTCCAGTAAGTAGAAAGGTGGCCCAAAATAAGAACAGGATTTTCAGTCACCATTCAAAGTACTCTATTCTATAAGTTCTCGATATCAAGAAACAGTAAGATGTCTTAAGTTATGAATTAATAAAGGGTGTCTCAGAAATATTTTTGTTTATCAATACGTCCGCTGGCGCAATAGGCACAATCCTGAGAAAGAAGGCAGTTGGAAAATGGTGATATAGAGTGTTAAGTTTTAGTTGCAATGGAGCGATTTACGGGACAACAACGTGTTTTTTGTATTCGTGCGTTTTATAAAAACAATTATTCTTATGTTCTTGTGTGTCTTTTGTACAGAAATCATTATAACATAGCAAGAATGATGTCCCAACTGCAAATTTAATTAATTATTGGTTAAGAATGTTTGAGAGTACTGAAAATTAAATTCGACCTAGGGATATCTTTCATTCTTGCTATGTTATAATCATTTCTGTACAAACGACGTACAAGAATATAAGAATCATTGTTTTTATAAAACACACGAATACAAAAAGCACGTTGCAGTCCCGTAAATTGCAACTTAAACTTAACACTGTCGACCACCGTTTGTCAACTGCCTTCTTTCTCGGGAATGTTCCTATTGCGCCAGCGAACGGATTAATAAACGAAAATATTTCTGAGACACCCTATATATTTAAAAGGTGATGTTGAGAGCACCATAAGTCCGACTAGTTTTTCTTAGGCCGGGACTGTTCGTTTTACTGAAGAATTTATGTTTAATTTAGGATGTTTGTGGTAAAAAATCCTCCAACCCTAACAAATTTAGTTACATCGTTTTACAGATGACAGTATTATGCATGGACTCACTTTCTTCTCGGAACACCCTGTATAATCAACATTTTGTAAATGACCTTAATGTATTATAACCAATTATACAAGACGTCTAATTTAATTTGATAAATTATTAAAAAAATATGAAGGAATAAAAACAATATGGACCCATGTTAACCAAATATTTGCCATTTAAAAATTCACAGTTTAATTTATTGTTTTTACCTTTGCAAACGACCAAAAGTACACCTTTTTTCAACTTGAATGAGATTAAATTTATAAAAATACTAATTTTTCATTTTACACATTTGAGAAAAAATCTTTGATTAAACATATTTTGGTAAAAATATTATCTAGCTTGTACTTAACTATTGGCCTCATTTTAATCATTCTCATTATATATTATTACGTTGCTATATTACTTTGTCTGTGTTATACAATATCGTATTTATGGTAGTTTTATATAAATTGATCATAATGAACGAAATTACAGCCATACTAATATTAATATCTTTTCTGCAAGTAAAAATGGTCCGTTTATTATGATCAGTTGCAACAATATATTAAAACAAGCATTGGCACATTTGGTTTATTTATTATATAGTTTGTCACTTTTTTGTAAGTTATAAGTAACTAAATTATAATAAAAACAGTTACAGAAATAGTGTTTATTCTAAAGTTACATCCATCATTACCAATATCAAATAACGTTCATCTTCAGTGTTTCAAACTACAAAAAAATAGGGGGGACAAGGGGGTCTAATTTAACAAAAAATATTTAAACTATTTTTTTAGCACCCCAGATAGCACAAAGTCGTCTTAAAGCCGTCTTTAAGACGTCTAGCATGACATTCGAGACGTCTGGTATTTCCTGAAAGACGTCTTAGAAGACGTCTGATGTTACAAAAAGCGACATCTTTAAGACGTCTTATTAATGGCTTATATTGGTCTGTAGAGGTTAAAATAAGACGTCTTTAAGACGACTTATTAATAGCTTGTAATGGTCTTGTGAAGCCTTAAATAAGACGGCTCATTAATAGCTTATAATGGTCTTATGAAGCCTTAAATAAGACGTCTTATTAATGGCTTATAATGGTCTTATGAAGCTTTAAATAAGACGTCTTGTCCATTGCTTATAATGGTCTTGGGAAGCTTTAAATAAGCCATAAATAAGACGTCTCATAAATGGCTTATAATGGTCTTGTGAAGCTTTAAATAAGACGTATTTAAGACGTCTTATTCATTGCATATAATGGTCTTGGGAAGCTTTAAATAAGCCATAAATAAGACGTCTCATAAATGGTTTATAATGGTCTTGTGAAGCTTTAAATAAGCCATAAATAAGACGTCTTTAAGATGACTTATTAATGGCTTATAAAGGTCTGGTTAAACTTAAATAAGCCATAAATAACACGTTCATTATTTTTATTCTGCCAATTCTATAACTTGTTTATAATAATATAAAATAATTTTAAAATGGGTATCATCGTGCATCTTGGTTATTAAAATTAGTAGAATAACCTTGCAGGTTATAAAGAATGCAAAAAATAGAATTAAAAATATTTATTGATAAAATATCTATTAATCACAGGTCACTAAGAGTTATTTTCTTTGTAACGCATTCGATCACTCCTCTTTAGCCATAACTGGATTGATTTTTTTCTTTCTTTTTGATTTGAAGTTGCCTTTGTATAGTCGCTCCTAAAATGAAATTTAAGTAAGAGCATTATAGTTACAGGAAGTTATACTTTGTAAAAGTTAGTAAAATCGAAAGAACAATTTTATTATGAAACAAAACAAAAAATTAATTTCTTACACTTTTAAATCAATTTTTATAACAAATCATTTAAGACAAGATGAGCTATTATACTTAATCGCCTATTTTGACAATTTTACTTTAACTTCACTCAAAATGGCTATCTAATATGTGGCTTTTGAAATCAATAGTTCTCGAAATCTCCATAAAATAAAAAAAAGGAAATTGACGAATAACTGAATTAAATCTTATATTAAAATGTTTACTTTTTAATTCATTTAATTATTCTTATTTAAAAGAAACAGGATATTAATGTTTATGTATATAAACAAATATTCATTTATTACCTGTAGAAAGTATTCCAGGAACGTGATACATCTGTAACAGAAACTCCACTATTCTTCCTTCACTGGTTTTAGTCCCATATTATTTAAGTAAAAAGAGACCAAACACAAATGCACAAAGTATCCCAAACGCAATAGAATAATCAATGAGCGCTTTCTTTTATGTCATCTGGGTTACTCGCGAGCAGTACCAGAGCTGCTCCTGACTCTAATTGACCGTTCTTTTTAACGGGGCTTGTTGATCTGGAGCATAGACATCATATTATCTAAGATAGACTCGCCCTACACACTGTATACCCAATACACCTTCTGTCCGCATGTTTTACCAGACGGGGAAAGGGGAATCGTACGTCGCACATTGATGTAGTGTTTCGGAAGGGTTTACATATATTTTTAGTAAAAATTATTTAATGACCAAATCAATAACCTATGGGTCTTCGGAATCAAAGGTAAATTTAAAGAAAACATTCAATTTATACAGGGCATTCAAAAAGTCATTTTTATATTTTCTTATAGATTAAAATAGTAGGTAGCTCAAAGTGGAAGAACATTTTTGTTAGTATTTTATTATATATATTTTTTTAAATACATGAAGAGCAAAGACCAATTAAAAATATAAAGCCATTTATTATTATTTTTACATGGGTACTGTTTGAAAACCTTTTATGAAATAAAAAGCTATTAAAAGCAGAAGAATTTTATTTCAGATACATAAATATACAACTATGATCTTTCTATTACATACCATTTGGGTTGCATGTCACGACACCTATTTTTAGAATTATTTGTGTAATGATATAATAACTCATTTAGGACAGTGATCAGCAATTATTTTATAATATCTGAACAAGGCTAAAACACAGTAGCTTAAGATTATCAAGAGATACTTTATTTCTAATTTGTCCGAATAGAAAAAACACTCAGGGAAGCTGCTTTTGTGACATTTTGAATGTCATTTTACTATCAATGGTTACTCCTAGAAACACTCTTGGTGAAGAATCTGCTCAATAGATTTATTTAGTGTTATAAGATAACTGATATTTTATAAAGGATATTTTGGAATAAAAGACAAAATAGCTATTTGTGTATTAAGAACAGAAAGTAGCACCTTTGCCAGTTGAGACAGAAAGTCTGTCGAAGAGAAAAGATTTATTTTATATTTATTCAAAAAGGAGGAAAAATACAATATCAAAACTGTTA